TGGGTCTGTAGCAGGCAGTCTTAGGGATGGGGGGATGTTGAGTTTGTAGCTGAGAATCTGCATAGGTCTGCACTACCATGTCACATCACCTCTCCTCTCACATAGTTTGTCATGGTTGTGGTGGATAAGCTGCCACATGTGTGCTGGTTTCCTCTGGAAGTGCACAGCTGTCAGTAAAGTGTTGTTAACATGCACAGAATAAAATTTTAAAAATATGTTACAGAGGTATAGGGCTTGAAATGCAAAGGAGTTGCTGCTGCACAGCTCAGGTTTCAAGTGGCTGAGCCTAATTCTTTCCAGCAGGTAAAACTGGAGTGCAACACTGCTGAAGACATTGTTTACAGAAGGATAAACATGGCATTTACTTCATTTTTTAAGTTATGTTGTTTGTAACTTGGCATATGAAGAGATCTGAGATGTCTGTTTAGATTTTAACTCTGCTAATGTAACTAAAAATGTCCTAAAGGCTCAGCACTTCCACCCTCTGAGGTTTGCATAGCACAGGCTGGATACATCAGTTTCAAATTCCAGTAATCAAAAAAAAAAATAAACCCAAAAAACAAAACAAAACAAAAAAAACCCGAAAAACCAAAACAAACAAACAAACAAAAAAAAAAAAACCAAAAAAACAACAAAGCTCACAAGACTGACATGTAAACTTCTGTGTTAAAGGAATTCCTGCACGCTGCATGCTGATGTTTATTCTAGCAGATTGATCTCTCTCACACATAATATTTTCATGTCTTCATATCCACTAAATATGCTTTAATTTTATTCATCTTGCAAATTTCTGCTGCTGTGGCAGAATGGAGGATGAGTGGCTGTGCCTGCCTTGTCAGGAAAGCCAGACAGCACTCGAGGCTTGTCCCTGCCAGGCAGGCTCAGGAGCAGCATGCCCCCAAAGCAAAACTGAATCTGTGTACCAGACACTCTGTGGAGCCTTTCAATTTATCTAGCCTGGGCTTAAAGCATTCATATTTTTTAAAAAATTAAATTTGTGTGCCAGCAGACATGCTTTATGTTGCTGCTAGGCAGCTGGGATGTTTGAGGAAGAAAGTTGTCTTGAACACTGAGTTTAACTCCCTGAGAAAACAGCTGTGACATACAAAAAACCCAACCTGTGATGAATTCCACCCCCCAAACTCCACTTTATTTAATTTCCTTATTTGCACTGTAAAACAGCTAAACTGGTAACGTATATTTATGATTTGTATGGAGGAACATGTTGTGTGCATTTAATCGAGGTATTTTTTTTATGTCAGTCTTTTAGAAAGTGTTGTGGATCCACCTGATGTTCCTGAAAATTGGATTTTATAGTCAAATTAGGTTCATAGATAGGCAATAATTGGAAGAATACATAGTTCCTGAAGGAATGGTTTGTAAAACTCTGGAAGAGAAAAGAACATACAACATCATTTGGAAATGTCATGTGATACTGAATCATCTTTAACACCAGCATTTTTTTGAAGTTTGTGATTCTTCCTTTTATCTTTTGGGATCTACACAGTGTCACAGAAGTAAAAGCAGGGACAGCAGTTGTTTCCTTCCTATAAAGACGTTTATGCCTATAGGTAAAAGACCCTGAAAGAATGTTATTTTGGTATAAACCTATTTTAAATATTGAGATTTGTTTTGCAGTATTCATAGAATCACAGAATGGATTGAGTTGGAAGGGACCTTAAAACTCATCTTTGAGCTTTGCCATGGGTAGGGACACCTTCCACTAGCCCAGATTAAATCCAACCTGGCCTTGGACACTTCCAGGGATGGAGCAGCCACAGCTTCTCTGGGCACCCTGTGCCAAGGCCTCACCACCCTCACAGAGAACAAATAAGTATAAGTACAATTATTGTTACATTTTATATTAATACTTATTTTTAAAGTAATTGGAAGTTCTTTAAATAATTTTTTGTGTACTGAAAGACACCTTTCCCACAGCCAAGTGCATTGTTAGTCATTATTTTTTCTTTTTAAAATAGAAAGAAAATCATTATTGGATGAATTAGCATTTGAACTCTAAGATCTTTTCTTACACTTGATAATTGTGTAAATGTTACATGAATTATTGCGTATTGTATGTGTATTATGTATAAATGCTGTTTGAGAAATTGTCATTAGTGTTTTAGCCACCTCAGTATGGGAACAGAATCAATCATCCTGCTTTAGCTTTTCACTTCATGAGAAAATTGTCTTTACTCTTAGCTAAATTATTCTTGCATTTAATAATTCAGTAGTCAGTCTGATACATTTTTCACCTGGGAAAAGGGGGCCAAAGCTTGTCTTTATTTTCCATGTATATTCAGTGTTGCGCTCAGGGGAATGGTATATCCAAAAATAAGACTATAAATAAGAAATCAGTAGCCTTTTCTGTCTTGCTGCTTTATGTGGGTTTGATATATGCTCCTGCAGCATTATTACTTACTCTGTTCAGATCAATGCTCTGAGCTTTCCTTTACATGATTGATTTCTTCCAGATTAGCCCACGAAGTACGTGATTTAATAAACACCACTGCTACCTGTTTGCTAACACACTGTCTGCAGTCTTAGAGACTGTAAAATTTCTAAAATGCTTCAGTCAGTCATAAGATTTGGATGGTATCACTTTATTTCAGTAGGAAAAAGAAAACAGATTTGGTGTGCTGTAGTTGAAAGCAAACTAAAGTTCCTTGGAAGAAACAGAAATAAGACAAGAATTCATAAAAATGAAGCCAGATTCTGCAGGAGATAATGATAAAGTTGCTTACTACGGTATTGTCCTCTCTAAATGCCACTTTCCTGCCTCACAAAAGAAGCATTTTTCCTTGCTTTTGTGTTCTTAAAAATTGTGGCAGCAGATTGTAGAGTATCAGCAACATTATAACTATTGATGTCACTTCCTAAAATACCTATGGATATTTGTATTACCATTTAGTTAAAGTTTTAGCAGAAATGGGCTGTCAAGGAAGAATTTAAGTGTTCTCTAGAGCTGTCCTGTGACCTGTGGTGCTGTCCTGGGGTTCGGTGGGTGTGGGGTCCATGTAGAATGCCTGCTTTTATTAGGATGTTATTTCAATGTTTAGCAACTCACAGGGTGCCCATGTTCTGGGCAGTTTATCTTAAAAGAGTTCCATGCAGGACATGGAAGGATTCTGTGTGCCAGAAATATTTTTTACATTTTTATATTTTTTACAGATTTGCTTCTGGCTGGATTATGTGGACCTGGCTTAGGTACAGACTTGTACAGGTTTTAGTTTGCCCTAACAGTTTCATTTTTTGTGTTTCCATAATACCACTCTGCTATCTCTGAGACCAGTGTTTTTTAGTGCTTTCCAGACAATTTTTGTGTAATAGATGTAATTTTTTTCCAGACCTTTTTTTTGTAATAGATAATGTAATGGCTTTTGAGCATTGACGGCCAGAGGAATTGGGAAGTTTCTTCATAAGAAGTTACTGTGTAATACTTTAACACAGCTCTCCAGACATGGTATTTTTTATCTCTTAAGTTCACTCTTAGTTCTTTGCTCTTCCTGATAATGGCCTGACATACCATTATTCCTCCCTATATTTTTTCCCTCTATATAAGGTAAGTTTCTTTTTTCTTTGTGCCTTCTGTGATATTGTTTTCTCTGGAGGTAAATCTCCATAGCTTCACAGCACATCTGTGCTCAGATGTGGGCTGCAGTCTGATACACAGCATGATTCCCTTAGTCTTTACCCAAACCAGTCTGTGGTCAGGTCATTCTTTCTGTGCTTTCTGAGAAATGTTGTGAGGTTCTATTAATCTTTCTCCAGGAAACTTGTATTTCTGATATTACCCTGCTTTCATCCACTTTCTTGGGAGATGGTTTTCCTTTTCAATTGCACTACTATTGTTTTTAATATTACTGAGTCTTGTTGTCTTTCCTTGCTACTTCCTATTGTAAAATTAAAATGCTACTTTTGGCACAGAAAGGATCATATTGCTTTTGAAGGATAGATATTATTCTTGCTCCCCCAACACCTTGGGAAGAACTGTACAATATGATTCTGTTCAGTCCACATTTTTATCAACACGGTCACCATCACCTGCAGCCATCATTCTATTTTAGAACACAGCCTTACAGGTATTTTCTCCCTTTTTGCAATATCAATATATGAAGAAGATGAATGAAAGTTTCTTGCATGTTTTTGTCAGTGTGTTTTTATAGCTCCCATGAACAGTGATGGACTTGGCAGCCTGGAGACTGAAATCCTCTGTTTAATCACAGCTAGGTGTAGTTCAGCAGGAAGATGTATTTCTGTACACAGCCCCTGTAGCATGTCTAAGCCTCGAGCTGGAGAGCTGACCTTCTGTGAGCAGAAAAAAGCTCTCAGGCCACTCAGCCCCTGCCTTATCTATGAACTGTTCAAAAAGAAGCATTCATGCCATTGAGTTTTTGTGACAGGTGCTGACGTCTAGTCTGGAGTGGACTGAGAGCTTTCTTTGGGAATTTCCTTCCCTGAGTTCCTGAGAGAAAGCAGTGTTCTGTGCAGCCTGGGAGTTGTACATCTGCGTGCACTGAATTGTCACGTAACACTTCAAAAGGCAGTGGGTTTTCAGGTCAGCTTGCATTTAGCCCTAGGCTTGGTCTTCTGATCCATAATGTCTGTAATTCTTTATTTTAGTTGTGAAAACTCTCAAAATCTGATAGCTAAGGCTAGAGACTAAGTAAAATTGTAAATTTCATTCCCATGTTTAGAGTATTGAGATATTTTATTTGAAAACAAAGCAAAAAGGTCCTTCAGCCTTCAGAGAATCCTGCAGCATCCTAGGTCCAGAGAAGACACACTGCACAGAATTGTTGTGTGTAGTCATAACTTGTATTCTCTGAACATTTTGTAATGTTGCATAGCAAGGCAATGGTCCTGGTCATATTCCTTATCATAAATATGTGTTTATTTCCCTGAAAATCCAATGTAATGAGAACATGTGCTATTCCAGAAGAACATTAAATCTGCTGGAAATAATTTGACTGGGTTTTGGGTTTTTTTGTATTTTTCAGCTAACAGGACAAGTGACTTTGCAAATTGCCTCTGATCCAGTTTTGCCGTTTAATGCCCTCGACGTCGCGTTAGAAGTTCAGAACAGTCTGAAAGGTAATTTTCAATAGAGGAATACTGTTCTCCATTATTACAGGGGTGGGGGAAAGCATCATCTAATCGCTGATACATATTTTCAATATTTGAATAATAGCCAGTGATTTTACTAGTTAAATAGGGTCATTATATAATGCTGAATAAAACACAGGTTTTGTTGCTAAAGAAAGCCACAAAGTTTTTTGATTTCTTCTGATGTTACTTTTTCAATTAAGCAGTACACGTTGCCTGTAGTGTCCTAAGGCCTTTGAAAAATATTTCTGTTCATAGATTTATGAAACTCTCAAGTTGATCTGTTAAATAGAGAAGTAATTTCTATAAAATCACACCCAAACTTCACATATCCTTCAGCAAATTGTGAGATCATATCTCAAATGTAAAGACTTCACAATCTTCAGATGCTACCCCTGCATTTCATTCACTCCCGACACTACAAAGCACCACTTTTCTGTAACACATACTCATAGAAGTACGATAACTTTTGTTTAATCTTTGCCATCCATCATTGTGAAGATGTAGGAGTCAGTAGGCAAGTATTGGTCTGGAACCAGTGAGCATCTAAAAAGACAAGTGATTTTAGCTCTGTTGTGCCACATAAACATTGGTTTAGTTCAGCCTAAACACAGCAGGGGATGATCATCAAATGAAGTGTGGCTCAGCTGGTATTCCTTCAACTGAACATGAGATATCTTCTGTTGTTCTTCCTTTTTCTTTATTTTGAGTAACAGAAAACGTTGATTTAAACTGACTTTTTTCTCTCTAACTTCAGTTAGATCATTTATCTCTACAACTTCAGGGGAGAGAAAATTATTTCCTAGGCTGTAGGGCCAGCAGGATAAATCTTCTCCCAGCTGTTCACTTTGGAGTTTTGTTTAATGATTTTTCTCATGGCTTTCATGTCTTGTCTGTCTCTGAATTGTATAAAAGAACACTTTATGTTCATTTTGGAAAACATTAAGACAATGGTCCTTTCAGTTACTTAAATGAGAAGTTGTGTTTTTTTATGTGGCTCATGGATTTATTAATTCTTCAAAAGATTTTATGTTGAACAAACTTTCCAGTTCAAAGTTGGAATGTCTTAGTAAGCGCTATTCTTCTCCAACTCAATGCAAACTGTAAATGTAGAAAGATGAAGGTAAATCTGCATGACATGTAAATTCATTAGGCTTAATTTTGTGCCTCTGGGATCTGGTTCAGCCAATTCCTTTAACACAGATTTTTATTACCCATTGGACTTTCTCACATGCTTGAAGTTAAATTTTGTGTAAATATTTGAGTCACTGTTTTGCAATCTCCTGGATGTACTCACAAAAGGTTGTGTATACCTTGATGCTTGTTGATACTGCATTTATTTGCATTTCTAAAAGATTTAACTCTGTAATGTGGTGGGTGTCTATACAATTAGCTCTGCTGAATTCCATGGGGTATTACTCAGCACCTCACAGACCATTTCTTACATCCAGGATAATGTGGATGGCAAGTTAGGTCATCCCCAACATGTTCATTTGGCTCATGGCCTGTTCCAGAAAGATGGGGAAGAGGGTTTTAAGTGACACGTGTTCTCTCCCCTTGCACGCACCAGAACTCTTGGAAACAAACCACTGCTTTTGGGTTTATCTGAAAGAAAGGGTTGGGGCTGGCGACACTTATTTTTCTGCCTCCGCTGATGGTCTGATGTTTAACAGGAAACCTTGTTTCCCATAAATGATGGGAGATGGGGGCTCCAACACTGAAATCCAGGTCCCCAGGTCTAGCCAGGCTGTTGCCTGTCTAGTCACAGATGTGATATCTTAGGCAAATTCATAAATAAGTGACTGATTATAATATTGTCATTAGCTACACCTTGCAGCTGTGTGGGATTTGTGCTTTCTCTACATTTAAAGTCAAGACCTATTTTAATTTGATACAAATACATTAATATCTTGCCAGGCCTGGTATCCTATGAAAAGCCAATTAATCTTCTGAGGTAGGGTCCAGACAAGATGTCCGATCTGGTGTGTGACTGATACAAACAAAAGTGCTTTTAAGCATTCCTGTAAAAATGCTTTGTATGTATGTGCAAGTAAAAATGTACAGTCATTTGTATAGAAGTGTTTTGTATGTGTACAAGCATTTTTTATCCAGAATATATTTGTGTTTCCTGCTGAAAGCTCTTAGCACTGTGCTCCTTGTAGTTCGTCTTTAAAATCTGGAGTATGTTACAACAAGTTTCAGGGGATGGTGGAGATTCTCCAGCACCACATTAGGATTAAAAGCACTCCTGTACCTTTGCACCTGATTGTCCCAGCCATAAGTTCAGCCACCCAGTTTACAAAAATAAAGTCAGCCAGGTTGGTGTTGTCCCTCACTTGGGTGCTGTTGAAGCTGATGTCATTTTTATTGCCAGTCACTTGGACTCCTGCAAACCTTTCAAAATTGGTGTCTGCCCCAGCCCTGAATTGTGGCTGTGCAGCTCCAGGCAGGCGAGGTGAGATCCCCACTCGTGGCTGTCAGCACAGGCTGCTGGAGCAAATTGCAGCCATCTCTGATAGCCACTGGCTGAGAGGGAGAGCCTTACGAAGACAAATCGAGGGTGGATGAGAGTTCTGCTTTTCCAGAAGTGCAAGAGCCATGATTGAAAGCTCTTTGGCTGATGCAGTGTCAGCTGTGGGTGGCTTCTTATCAGCTAGGCCCTTTCTTCTCCCCAGAATGGATGTTTTACACATGTTACTGCAGCTGAAGTACTTGGGGTGATAATAGTAGGCAGCACTAGCAGAGGTTTAAAATAATCTGGTTTACAATAAGTCATTCCTAGGGAAGTCTGCATAACTTTCCACAGCTCTGCCTCTACCCATACATTTCAAAACATCGGGCTAAACTCTCTGTCCTTAGAAAAATCAATGGAGACACCTATCTCTCTCATTTACTTACTTGATGGCTGCATGCTCATTGCCTACAGCTATCTGCTGCTCTTCAGCTTGGCATCATTTTACCTGCTTGACTGTATTTCCCTGATCGTTTTGGGTGCTTTTCAGAATTACTCTCTCCTCCTGTCTCTAATGTTCAGAAAAGTTTGCTCTTTACTCTTCCTACCCTTTATTCTTGACTGCAGCAGAGGTGAAAAATGCAACAAATCTATATATAAGACAGAAATATCTCTTCTGTCATGAGACACTGGCATCTTCTCTTCAGTATCCATTCAAGGTTATTATGTATTAGTACCTTTCCTCAGCCTTTAAAAGACAGTCATGGAAAAAGGCATTTTCCACGGACAAACATTTAGTTCTGAAGGGCAAGGATGAGCATCTATTCTGTGTTAGTAGGCCATAAGTTTCAGCAGCTCTGTACAAAGTCATTGATAACTTCATAGAATCATAGAATAGTTTGGGTTGTAAGGGGCCTTTTAAAGGTCACCTGGTCCAATGCAGTGAGCAGGGAGATCTTCCAGTAGACTGAGATGCTCAGAGCCTCATCCAGCCTGGCACTGAATGTTTCCAGGTTGGGGCATCCACCACCTCCCTGGGCAGCCCAGTGTTCCACCATCCTCATTATAAAAAAATCTCCTCCTTACTCCTAGTCTAAATCTAATCTTTTGGTTTAAAACCCTTATCCCTTGTCCTATTTCAGAAGTTTGTCCCAAATTTTCTTATAAATCCCCTTTCAGTATTAAAAGAGCACAGCGAAGTCTCCCTGGAGCTGGCTCTTCTCCAGGCTCCTGTATTGACATGCACATAGTAAAATGTCACAACATTCCTCTTTAATATAACTTCTTTGAAAAAAGGCTTGGAGCAGCACCAGATGAGTTTCTTTGGGCTGTAGTTCATGGTAGCAAAATTGAAGCTGATGGCAGCACATCCTTTGCACTGTGGATGTCTGTGGATTTGTGTTTCTGCCCCTTTAGGGTGCTTCCTACAAAAATTTTCCATTCAGATTTTCTACTGCCAGGTCTGCTCATCCTATTTTGCAGAGCATGAAAACTTTTCCTAGTAAATAGAGCAAGACATCGTAGCTGATTCAGAATTTGCAAGCTAATCAAAACCTGAAGCAATTTCCCTTCTCTCTTGCATGCAAACACATGTTCACATATATGGTAAACAAGCATCATGCCTTAGAATGCTGATTTGTCTGTGCTCCCTCTCCTATCAGTACTTGTAGGCAAGTATTTTCATAACAGAGGGCACAAACAGAATTTAAAAATGTTCAACCTCAAGCTGTGCTTTTCATAAGAGCAATCAGTAACAGAGGGAAAGTATTCAGGGTCTGTAAAAATATCTGTTTGGTGTAACTTGTTTCTGAATAGGATCCAGTTGCATTTAACAAATGCAATGAAATTCAGCACTGTAATTCCCTGATCAAGAGTGCACATGCTCTTGAGTCACTTTACTGTGTTTGCAATTTTATTTTTGTAGCAACTAAACAACTAGCTTAGATGAGTCATCATGATTCACATTGGAGACAAAAGGACAAAGAATACAAAATACAACAATGTGGCATTGTTTTCTCTTAAATGAGGTAACACTTGTGCTTGATTTTCTCTGGAAAAGCATCACAAGGTGCTTAAGACATTATTAGTTATTGCAGGGTTTTCTTGAAGAATCATTTGCCCTTCCATTCCCATATTCTCAGCCTGAGAAAAGCATAAATTGGTTTCCCTTGGTGGTGCAGTTCAGTGTGGTGGTGCCTGTTCTGTCCTTAGTTGGCTGAAGTGACACTGCCCATACTGGCAGGTTTTGTACTGGAGCATTAAAAAAGGGCCTGGCTGTGTGTTTTCTAACAAATGCTGGTTTTGAGTGTAAAGCAATGAGTTGGTTTAAGGGCTGTGGAGAACAAGTGAGAGCATTTACAGGATTTTTGTGTTTAAAAGGGTGGTCTGGTTGGCTTTATTTCCAAGTACAGAAAGATGGATTTTCCCTTTATCTCACTTTCTTTATTGAAAAGGCAAAGCTGGCATTTGCAATTGTTTATATAAGATTCAGAACAAAATCTATATGTCTTTTATGTTATTTGAAATGCAAAGTGCTTTGCTGAAACCAAAGGATTCTTTCTAACAGGGTGAATTTAAACATTTCCATAGGACACAAGTCCCAGGGTAAGGTGTGCATGGTGTCTGTATTATATACATGGGAATGACAAGTTCTTCAGCTGCACAGGATGTTTGCTGAAGATTTGAAAATTAAGGATAATGATATTTTGCAAGTATTTTAAATGTAGCAAGCTTATATGCTTGAATAATATTTTTATGAGGCATCAACCTAACCTGATCAGAATTTCAATTACTGCACACTCAGAGAGTTACCAACCCTTTATATCAAGATACCAGCACACCTGTTATCCATTCTGTTTAGGGAAAGATGGATTGGGCAAGTGTCATTGCAAAGGAACCTTGTCCAAACCCATGGCAGACATAAACCATCTTCTCTCACTCCTGTTCCCCTAGGGAGCTTCTGTTCATTGATGAAATTCATCTTAATATCTCAGGAAATCTGACAGTTTCTCTCACACCAGCATCTCATCTCTCTGTGTATTCTGGATCACTTCATGTTTTGCTAGATTGGAATGTGGTAGTCAGCTGAATGACAGGAGGATTTGGGATCCATGAACTCCTTTCCCTTTGCTGGAATGTATCCAATAACAAATCTTTTTCCACATGAGAGGGACAATATGTTATATTCAGGCATTTCCTTGGATTTCTTAGTTATACCTCTTTGCTTTTCCATTCCTATTATGTGCTCACTTTTCAGATCCTAACCATGAATTATTTGATAAATGGGTTGGTGTTTGTCCTGATTTTAACTAGAACGGAGTTTAATTTTCTTCCTAGTAGCTGGTACTGTGTTGTGGATTTAGGATGAGATGAAGGTTGGTAACTCACTGATGTTTCAGTTGTTGTTTAGTAGTGTTTACCCTGAGGACTTTCCAGTTTCCCATGTTTTGCCAGAGAGGAGTTACAGGAATCTGGGAGGGAGCATGGCCAGGACAGCTGACCTGAACTGGCCAAAGGGGTATTTTATACCAGAGAACATCATGCTCTTAGACTGTTGGCCAAGGAGGCTGATTGCTGCTGGGGCCAGGCTGAACATGGTCAGCCCACTAAAATTGCTCATCACTTCTCTGTCTTGGGTTTTATATCTCGCTTTTGGGTTTTTTCCCTTTTTGATGCTATATTATTACTATTGTTATTATGATGAACATCATTATATATCAATTATTAAGCTGTTCTAATCTCAACCCACTGGTTTTAACTTCTTGATTCTTCTCTCCATTCCATCAGGGAAGCCAGTGGGTGTGAGTGAGCAGCTGTATGGTGCTTACTTGCCAGCTGAGGTTAAACCATGCCAATGTTCCTCAATTACTATTTGTGATTTTTTTCATGTGTATCTTAGAAAAGGAGGTTGAACATTCATTGAACTTGAGTCCTGAACCACTTTCTTGGCATAATGATCTCAGTCACTAAGGTACAGAACTCCCTGACGTTTGCACATTCAGGTAGAGGTGAGACAGCTCCAGAGCTGCATGGTTTATGTTCATTAAGGCATTATTGGAAAGGTCTAAGCATAGTTGGATTTCTTGTCAATAGGTGAAGTGAATCTTGGCTTTAAAGATAATTTCTGCATCCTGGAAATGTTTGTGCTGACTGATATTGCTTTTGACCTTCTATCAGGTTCAGGCTCTGCTTTCTCTCTCCATGTGCTTTAAAGATGAAGGCAGTCCATGCACACACTGGGAAAGGAAGCCACACTCCTCATCTGCACTGCAGGTGGGAGGAGGCTGCACATTCACAGTGCTCCAATTCACATTTCTCTTTCTGGAGTATGAACAGGGAAATATTAAAATTGTGCTGTGCTCGTAGGTGCTGCAGGCGTTTATTTTTTTGCTGTCTGAGTGGGGTTGCTAACAAAGCAATAGTTAACACTCCAAGTTAGAAAGTTTTGAAAATATTGACTGGATTAGAATATGCATTAGGATATCAATTAAAGTTGGCTCATTGGCATATGACTTAAGTGATTAAGAGGAACAATTTCACATAACCCTCTACAATTGCTGTTAACCTCTAAGATTCTAAAATGTTGAATCAAATTCAATTAAACTCTGCATAATAAAATATTCTATAGAGCAGTCATTATGGAATCCAAGCACAAGCTTTCAGACTCAAGAGCAACAGCATCAAATGCCATTGAATAAATTCAGTCTCAGAAGGAAATATTCTAGTTCTTGATTTATAACCATTGCTTCCTGCATGCCTGTTTTTTCAATGCTAGATTTTAAGCTGTACCCCAAAAACCATTCCTCACAGCTTATTAGATCTTAAAGCATCAGAGCCCAAATTGATCTTTGAAGAACAAATCAGAGGTTACACAGAATGATCTATGGCTTCCCTTGACCCGTTCCGTGCTGCTCGCAGAGGAAAAAGAGGCTCAGGTTTTAATTGGACTATTAATTTCGACTTGGAAGCAAGAGTAATAAATGGTGTGTGAATCACTGGTGACTGTCCTGCTGTCCCTGCTCCAGGTGATGAAGCAGGCATCCCTCAGCTGCTGGCAGTGGCATCACGTCTGAGGGACACGGCGGAGCTGTTCCAGTCGGACGAGATGCGCCCGGCCAACGACCCCGAGGAGCGAGCCCCTGGCAGAGTCAGGATGCTCAATGATGTGCTGCAAGGCTTGGAGAAAAGCTTCCTGCTTCATCAAGCTCCTCCAGGACTTTACAGGTACGGTACAAGGTGTCCCACACGTCCTGTAGCTGAGCTAAAATGGTATTCGCCACTGCTTGGTTCGCAGGAGTGTCTTTAAAAAGAAAACCTCAGTGAGCACCCAAAATTAAAGCTGTTTTTTTCCTATCACGTTCTTTCTGCAGAAAACATTAATTCATTACAATGCAAGGGGTTATTAGAATGCAGCACTGTAGCACTTCTGTCATGACACTGCTGCTAACAAGACGTATGGTGCGATGGCAGCCCAGGCAGCGTGGCAGAAACGTGTGTCAGATGGTACAGGAAGCTTTCAGAAAGAGAAAATATTTTGAAGTCTAATACTGCTTGACAAGCTCCACCTATATTTTATTTAAAACTTTGTACAGTTCATTGAAGATTCGGAATTATACAAGATACTCTGTAGCATTATTTAACATATTTAATTATACAGCAGTGTTCTTGGATGCATTTCAGCGAGTTAAAGGCAGTTAACAAGGAGGCCTGAGTCAGTCACTGTTCATAACATCTTGTCTCTGCTTGGAATTATTCTCTGATATGTGTTCAGCTGCACTACCCAGGCTGGTTTTAAGATGTCGTAGTCATCCCATCTTTTCCTTTCTCAGAAAGAAGTCTGCAGGTCTCTATCTCTCACCAGAACCAACTAAAGTAGCAAAACTATGCTTTGATTTCAGTTAATGGGAAAAAATATCCAGTGTCTCATGCAAGTGAATGTGTAAAGTGTACATCAAACAGACAAGTGGTAGAGGTGGAGAAAGAAAGCAGAAAGCTTCAGCCACAGGAGGAATTCTTCCAGTTATTAGCAATGGTATAAAAACAAATGCAGTCATATTTTAACAAAAGGAGAGGGGAAAAGAAAAAGCAAGGTAGTTATGGGGAATTCAAAAGTGTCAGTGAATAAAAGCCCTACAGCTGTAATGAAGAAAATAGAATAATTACATCTGGGGAGAGGCTAATTTACTTCCTTCCTGCTGTGACTGGATTTATAACATAAAGAAATATGCCAAAATGGGATTAGATAAAATCCAATATTCCAGGTTTAGTGGTGCTGTCTGTCTTGTCTGAACTGGTATGGTGTTGCAAAAGAGCCAAAAAACTGTTTAATAATAGTGTAATATGTATGTGTTGCATTGCAACAGCAGCATTCAACATTGTTGAATCTGGTCCAGTTCTTTATTTGTAAAAATAAATTATATCAAAACTTAAGATTATAAGGAGAGCGTTTTTGAGGTCTTCTAATATTTCAGTTCTTGGAGTGCTTGCATTATTGTTATTTAGCAAAATGTAATTACTAGATAAGCAAAAATAATGTAACAAATTTTTCACCTACTTTTCACAGTACTTTAGTACAGAGTAAAAGTACTTTCACTTTTAGTGAAAGTAGATGCTGTGGAAATGAAATTTGTACTTGCTGCCCTTCAATTCATATAAATTCGATACAAGATTTAACAATACAAGATTTCAAAGACTGGGAGAAAACATTGGCTTTGACTTTGCTTTGAATAAATTTACCTGACATCATCTGGAATATACAACAATAAAGGACACCTTGTGTGTCATCATTTAGATGTTCATTTAAAAAGGATACAACCTTTGTACAGTGCCAAGGTGTGTAATTGTTACCTTTAATGGCAAATCTATGCAGATAAACAGAATCAAGGGCACTGTTAGGTTGCTTATGTCCTTTGCTGCCATTTAAAATCTGAAGTATGTTTGCTTAATTAAAAAATAAAAAGCATCTAAGTCTTGTTTAGATTATTTTTCATTTTTTAGGCATTGAAAGTCCTTTTATTAGTTGATGAAGTTATGTGAATGTGTTTTGTTTTCTGAAGATATAATTGTGTCCTAAGAACACTGGAAATACTTGAAAAACCCGATGCAATTTTTTTGTTGTTGTTGTTTTTCGCTTGTAAAACTTTAAGCTTATTCTTTTTGTCATTTGGTAAAGAAAACAAACAAAAAAATCAGTCTCACAGCCAGGACCTTGTATGCCATGTTTCATCCCAGTCAGAAGATTGATAGGCAAGTTATAAACCCCTGAAATAGTGGTTTATAATGGAAATGCTGGCAGCCCTTTAACTATAGCAGCACAAGCAGTACAGCAATAAATACTGTGCTTCATCTGTAAACAGAAATTTAGGATGCAGTTTGCAGCCTTGACCTTCAGGCTCCAACTGTGTTTAGATCATTAAGATTCCATAAATACTGTAATTTACAGCCTTCTGAAGGAAGAATTTGTGTGCACAGTAAAGGACGTATTCTTCATGAAAAAATGATTGCTTCCTGTATACCCATTTGGACTCATATTCTCAACCTCAATCAAAGCACTTGACAAATTTGCTGAAGTTTTAGGCATCATTTTTAGCCTTGTGTTTGTCCTAATTCACAGCCCTCTGGATCTATACTAGGTTTTCTGTCCTAGAACTTGAATTAAAAAGAAAGGTGGATTTTTTTCTTTATGGCAGGAGTGTTGCAACCTTCCTGTGCTTCTCCACTACAGGGGAACTGATACATCTTTTATTTTTTCTTTTTTTTTTTAATAGTTTGCACACACATCCCCATAGCTATAGTCTTTTACTGTATATTGGTATTTAGAAAAATAGATGCCTCATCCCAGTCAACGTCATAGGGCAATATTTGGGCATAATGGATACATTTTGCATCTATAATGAGAAGTAATACAATCAGACTTGCTAGCAGAATTCAAAATACTATTTTTTTTAAATAATTGGATTTGGATATTTGACTAAATCTAAATAATCATTATTAACATTGGCAGGTTGTTCAATACAGTAAATGTTATAGTTTTGATGCTTATTCCTCTTACCCGAACTTCCTGACATTGAACTGCAAATTTGACAACAGCACATTCCCCATGATCTCTATTTCCAACTGAGCTGGAAATACACAAGTACAGCTTTAATCAGGGTATTTTAGTCTTATCCAGAAATTTAGGCAGAATGAAAAATAATAGGTTGAGGAGCATCCTGCTTTGCAAAAGTTACCCTGGGACTTGATTTGGGGTTAGGAGAAAATTGCTGAGTTTCACTCTACCGGAAATATTTCTTTGATTCACAGTGGTAACCCTGGGTAGATTTTCTACTTCCAGAATAAATTTCCAGGATTGCTGTTGGTATTTTTCATTTATTTCTCTTTGTTTCTCATAGCATAATCGTAATACTGATAATTACTTGGATTTAGAGTTTGCCATTATTTTAACAAAATAATCAGTAGAAATCTGTCTGTTTCTCATCTTTAGCCATTTCTTGCTTTCCACTCTTTCAATGTATACTTGTGTGGAACATTTCTGTGTGTTTTCTGATGATCATATTTTGCTACTAGAAGTCATAATTATGGATTACACAGCAGTAGCATCTACAAGGTTAATGAAGAACAGAGGTTTTGTTACTTTAGTCACTGTACGGGGGGAAAAAATTTTAAGCATATTGTCTTCTCCATGAGATGGTCAACCTCACCAGAGCCATAAAAAGATTCCATAAATACTGATCATGTCATGCTTTTGAATGCTTTTCCCTCAGTAAGAGGGTTCTCCCTGTTCCTTGTATATTTTGTTGTGCTTTTTATAATTTACTGATTCCTGCAGCTTCTGCCTCCTGTCAGCCTGATGTATCTGTCAGGTCTGTGTGTGCACTCTGTAGGCACTCACTGAGAGCCTCTCCCTGTTTGGAAGGCAGAGCTCTTCAATGCATAATAATATTGAAAAAAAATGAGATAATAAAGCAAACTTCATGGAGTATCAGCCATGGCCCACTCGGTGCAGGGGGATCCCCAGTCTCAGTGAAAGTGTCACATTTCTTCAGGTCCAGGTCTAATTTTCAGGTATGCTGTTGATACCAGATTAATCCAGTAGTGAGTATGCAGGATTTCCTAGAATCCCCTGGGATACTCCCCCAAAATTTTCAAACCTACGAGAGTTATTAAAATCACAGCTTGTGTCTTCAGTATTTAAAATTATAGCCAAAAGGAGGTGTACAAGGGCTCAGGCTGTCACTTCTGCTCCAGTTAGGTGCATTTTATTCTTTATGGATCCTTGCCTAAGGATCAGAACTGTCCTGACTGACAGTTCTTTTAACAGTTTATAAAAAAACCCAAGTCAACATGTGTAAAATCTTTCTTTTAGAAGTTTTGTCTTAGCATGCCAAGTTTATCCTGTCCATTAAGGCTGTGTGCATCTGCCACCACTATTTATGGAACTTTTACAGGGGTGGTTGTGCTTTGTCTAATAGGTGTAATTGAGTGAATTGAGTAATAAGTAGGTGAAAAGCAAGGATTTTGAAAGCAATCTGTGTTTTCAGCAAAGACCTCCAGCAGCTTTTATTGCTCATTTGTATCAGTTAAACTTCTTCCTTTTGCTTCTTTTCATCACAGATACCCAAGTGTGGCATTAACACTTCATTGGGCTAAAGAATTACAACAAATGGGTACATTTTAATGCACTGAACAAAGCACTGGCAGTAAGCAAAGATGGATTGTGCAGCCTGAATTTGACATAATTAAATGAAAGAAAAGTCAAGAGGCGTTTTTTAGTACCATTCTAAAAAGGCAGCTTGCGTTGCTGCTGAACTTGTGCCACTCAAGCATGTGTTGTTCACCAGAACAAATATTTTCCTTTCAGACTGAGATTTGTTATGTACATTCCTGACATGTGTATATTGTACAGGATTTATTTCTGCTTTGCTGGTAAACTTCAGCAGATTCTCAGGTTTCAAAATACACATGCCCTAAGTCGAGTTTCCAGAGATATGTTTAATAGGAAAATTAAAGACCTTATTATATATATCTCCACTTGTAAACAATCTGCTCATTGGATTTACAGAGGACAAGCATTAAAGATGCAAATATCCTGCTAATCTTAAATAGTAACGTGGGTAAACATGGAATGCCATGTCACCTGCAAAATAAAACAAAGCCCCAGCCCAGAGTTTCTTCCCAAGACAGTAGTTCTGTCTCATTGTATAAACTCTGGAGATTTGTTTTTC